AAAAAAAAAAAAGTTGACAGATTTTGGGGCTCCTCGTCAATAGTCTCAATCATTATCAGTCCACTTCCAGCAGCCCCTAGGCAACAATAAATTGTTATAAAGAGTATAGCCGCATTTATAAAGAGTATAGCCGTGCGGCTATACTACTTTTACACGTGGCACCTTATCACCCCTTTAAATATAATTTATTTTAATAGTATAGCTGTTTACTTACAAAAATACGGCTATACTATTTTTGACACGTGACACTTAATCCCTAGGGGTTTTTTTTTTATTATTATTATAAAAAATAGTACAGCCGGACGGCCATACACAATGTGTTTAATTGTTTTTTAAAAATAGTATAGTCGCCTGGCTATGCTTATTTTGACACATGGCACCTAGGCGCTGTACGGCAGCCTGCTTTTTTTAAATAAAGAGTATAGCCGCCCGGCTTTACTCGATTTTTTAGTTTTAAAAAAAATATATAGTATAGCCACCCGGAATTACTTGGTTTTTATTTTGTTTTAATTTCCTTCAATAAATAGCGGCTATACTATATATGTGTATACTAGGATCCTTTCTTTCTTTTAAATTTTTTCCCCGATTTTCATTTATCAATAAGAGTAGTTTATATGATTATCCATTACTATTAGGCCATTACCCGAGTCTCTATTGTCCCCATTTAATTTTTTACTTTTCCTTAGTTATTACCTATATAAAAAATTTAGCACTTTCACGTTTAATACTCTATGATACACGCATGTACGTATTTTTAAATAATACATCCATGTTCTATACACATTTTAGAAACTCGGTAAAATTTACATTTTAAAAAAAAGTAAACGTACAATACTCATATTGTACATCTATGTATGTATTTCTCATGTTTAATACATGTATTTTTTACAAAATTTTCAATAAGACACACAAAACTCACATATTATACAAATAATTCTCACATATCATTAAATAAAAATAATACATACTAAAATATTATACAGTGGGCGATCAATATCTACTTTGGATATGTTGAAGCTAGCAAATTAATATCTCGAAAGTCTAAACTAATGCAACAAGGAGGGTGCTTTTTGCTTAATTTTTTATTGATTAAATAGTATAGCCGCGCGGCTATACCATTTAAATATTATCAATTTAAATACTATAGCCGTGCGGCTATACTACTACGTTTTTTAAAAACCGTATAGCCGGGCGGCTATACTCGGTGTTTTTAATTTGTTTTAAAAAATAGTATAGCCATGAGGCTATACGTATTTTGTTTTTTAATAACTAGTATAGCCGTTCGGCTATACATGGTTATATTAATGTTTGTTCAAAAATAATATAGCAGCGCAGCTTTACGTATTTTGACACATGGCGCCTAGGCACTATGCTGCTACTCTGTTTTTTTTTGGAAAGAGTATAGCCTCGTCACTATACGCAATTTTTTATTTTTAATAAATAGTATAGCTGCGCGGCTTGACGGGGTTTGTTTTTTGTTTTAATTGCCTTTAAGAATTCAATAATACACACAAAATTCATGTGATACACCTAATATAGGGTTTACCAACAAAAAAAGTTCTAAAATTTACAATAATACTAGAAACGCTAGCTCATTACACCGGTTTCCCCTTACAAACACATAATCAAAAGAAAACAAATAGATGGTGGCCTCGGAACAATAGAGTAGCTCAAATCCTCTGTATCACATATCCACCAAGAAGCCGAAATCTTTCTTAGCACATGAATAAGCAATCCCTACTGGCACATATATCACATCCTCACAGAACACATTTCTTGCATTAGCTATAGCAGCTCCACAATTCCGGCAGGTTAATGGAGTCAACGGGGTTAAGACCGACAATGGCATGCTCTGAATCTCAAATACTTCTAGTTTGCATTCCTCATTTCAATTAGTAACAAAACACAGAAGGAGGCATCCTTTCAGCGCTAGGTCATGAACACTGAATCATAATAATATATATGCAGCACTGATACGCATGATTCAGGGGAAGCCCATATCCGATACGAATCAGTTCTTCATCCTTGTCTTCTTTCATCCCCTCATTAATTTCATCAATTTTTTGTACCCTACATTGATTCAGAAAAGTGCAGGAAACTTAGCAGAAGCAAAGTTAAAACAGATATTGCTAAAGCTCCATTATGCAAATGGTTTATGTATGAATCATCCCATGGGAAATAAACCATGATTATGACATGCAAGATATGGAGATGCTAACCTGAAGATAGAAATATATTTCAATTATTCTCCACCACTTGAGAAAGCAATGGTTTTGTTTGAGAAGAATGCTTCCAAATTCCCCACTACTAGTTCGCGCAAAGCCGTGAAACATTCTGGTGTAAGGGCAGCTTGATTTATTTAATTATTTTGGCTGTTTTATTTTATTTTTTGTGGGGGTTATAAATATTTATTTTCAGATTTTATTTCTATATTAAATGACTTAATTTTCTGGTTTAATGTGGTGAATATTACATGATTTTGGATGCCTATAAAAGGTCACTCCTCCTTCACATTTGAAAGAGAAGAAAAAACAACAAAATCTAATTATCTCTTCTCCTACCTTTATGTATATTCTATACTTTCTATTAGTATTTTTGGGTAATGATTATGTGACTTGCATACATATCCATCTATGAACATGCTCATAGCGGATTTTGAGCTTGTGTATTAGGGGTCGTATTTTGGAGTCTTGTATACCGTCAGTACCTACACGTAATGAGGCTACAAAGACTTTAGGATAGCGTCTTTGACGTGCTTCACAGTATAAATTTTGCCTTCTTACTTATAATTTATTTTGCTTTTACTTACCTATTAATTTATTTTTCTTTAGTTTCATTGTACCTTAAAAGCTTTCCAATTTGTTTATATATTATTTATTATATTTTGTATTTGGCTTTACAGAAAAGGAAAACTATAATTTATTTAACAGTACCGGCTTCGACCCCTCCGGTCGAGGGACAATGGCAGGCAATACTGGGGTTCTGCTTCTTCTTGGGGTTGTGCTTAGGGTTTTGGTCTTGGGGGTTAGGGGAAAGGGAGGGTGGGGGTTTGAAGGAGTAGCGGTCGTGAAGTTTCAAGGAGGTGGAGAGGGGCCACGTGAGAATGAATGCGAGTGCTTTTGGCTTTTGGCGGGAGAGCTTGGTGAGAAACGTGGAGGGTGTGTGTGTGAGATTCTCTAGGGTTTAGTGTCGTTCATTTGAGTAGGCTGCAGCGAGTAGACAGAGTTTAAAAATATCTCAACTAACAAAACGACCAACTTTTTCTTTTTAATTTGTATGCTGATTTTTATTTTATTCTAATTTGATATTTTTTTTAAAAACAATATTCGAAACTACTCTATTCTAAGCGGGGCGATTCAATCTTGAATGCAATGAAACGAGCACACTGCGCACCCCAACCAGTCCAACCCACATATGCTTCTAATTTGTTGCTTTATTAAGCGGGAATTTAGTAGGAAACAAAAAGACTTTACCAAAAAATAAAGTTTTAAAATTTACAATAATGCTAGATACACAGTGAAGAAGACGAGCAACTGGGAGTCACAGAGGAACTGATCGACCATGAAGCTGATTTATTGAGTGCTAGGTCACAAACACTGAAGCTGATTTATTGAGTGCTAGGTCACAAACACTGAAGCTGATTTATTGATCAATAATTACGAGGCTACATGCAGTTTCAGATAAGACTACGGCATACTGATTAAATAAGGCATGAAACCTGCCAAAAATCAGATTGAAAATTCAACAATTGTTGAATCATAATAATATATATGCAGCACTGATACGCATGATTCAGGGGAAGCCCGTATCCGATACGAATCAGTTCTTCATCCTTGTCTTCTTTCATCCCCTCATTATTTTCATCAATTTTTTGTACCCTACATTGCATTGATTCAGAAAAGTGCAGGAAACTCAGCAGAAGAAAAGTTAAAAGTTATGCAGGTGGTTTCTGTATGAATCATCCCCATGGGAAAGAAACCATAAATATGACATGCAAGATATGGAGATGCTAACCTGAAAATAGAAATCTATTCAATTATTCTCCACTTGAGAAAGCAATGGTTTGTTTGAGAAGAATGCTTCCAAATTCCCTACTACTAGTTCGCGCAAAGCCGTGAAACATTCTGGTGTAAGGACAGCATGATGTGGTGACAGTACGACATTATCCAATGCAAAGAGCTCTTTAGGAGCATGAGGCTCGTTCTCAAACACATCCAAACCAGCACCTCCAATCTCACCTCGCACCAAACACTGCACCATTTCCTTCTCGTCGATTATAGCCCCACGTCCTACATTCACAATCACCCCCTCTCTTCCCAATGCCAACAAGACTTTCTTGTTAATCATGTGGTGGGTTTGAGCAGTCAAACCACAACAAATGACAAGCACATCGCTATTAGCTGCAAGTTCACATACATCGGGAAAGAAAGGGTACGAAACAAATGGTTTTTTCTTCCTTGAGTTATACAAGATATTGCAACCAAAGGCCTCAAGTCTCTTAGCAACTTCTAAGCCAATGTTTCCCAATCCAACAACCCCAACTTGTTTGCCTCCTATCTGAAATTCCCAATCATCACAAAAATCATTGTAAATAACCCACAGTAAAAAAGAAAGATTCATAGCTCAACTATCCATATCATAATTCAATGCTTACCATAATTATAAAGTTGTGAAGAACTGTTAAAAGACATTCCTTTTTCACTACTTTCAGTTTCTAATCTCAACCAAGTTGTCTATAAGAAACTCAAGAAGAGTCTAACCTTTTTGACTTTTTATTCTTAGACTCTAAACAAGAAGATTGTGACTTCATGGAATTCTAATATACCCTACTAGATTGGAAACCAAGGATTGACAACAGAAGAACCAAATTCAATTTTGGCTCCCAAAAAATAAATAAATAAAAGCTAACCAATCAAACTCCACAGTTGATAATCTATTCATCTAAACACACACACACCAAAAAAAGGAGAAAAAGCAAAGTATCAACAGTAAACAAAAAAACAAAGCTTCACTTGTCACGTCAAATCTCACACAAACCCAACAAAAGTATGTGACTTTATAATTTCAACTTCAAATAACTAGAATTGATGATGAGACCTTAGAACCCAGAGCAAAATCTCCCTTGCTAACCCAAAAACCATCTCGGACAAACCGATCGGAAGCCGAAATATTTCTCATGACATCGAGAAGCAGCCCCACGGCCATGTCAGCAACGTCCTCAGCGAAGATCTTAGAGGCGTTGGCAATGGCCACGCCGCGCGCTCGACACTCGGCCAAGTCGATATGGTCGAGGCCTGCGCTGATGGTGACGAGGAGCTTCAAGGAGGGCAGCAAATGGAGGATCTGGGCAGTGATGGGAGGTCCAATGGAGGAGGACAGAAGAACCTGCACTGAGCCTGCTTGCGTTTCCAAGAACTGGTCTTGAGGGAGAGGAGAGGCCCAGGCTTTGAGGAAGTGGAACTTGTGGGAGTTGTTGGCCTCCACGAGAGCGAAGAAGGGGTTTGGGAGAAGTTGCAGGACCTTTGGGAGGTCTTGGCCATGGAGATGGGTGTGGTTATTGTGTGCCATTGGATTTGCTTCTTGAGATTTGAGACTTGAGAGATTGAGAAATATTTTTTTTCTTTCTGAACTGGGAATTGGAAAAGGAGCTCAAGCTTTACTTTTTAAGTAAATATTTACACTGGCCAATTGGATTTGTGGCATGTTTACTAATCCGGAATTGAATTAGAGGGAATTGAATTGAGGATGAATTGAGGAGTTGGATTGAGGAGAATTAGATTCCGGATTCCTAATAAAGTTGTTTACTAAACCATATGGATTGAGGGGAGTTAGATTCCGAATTCCTATTTAAGTTGTTTACTAAATAAATGGAGGATCTGGGCAGTGATGGGAGGTCCAATGGTGGAGGACAGAAGGACCTGCACTGAGCCTGCGTGCGTTTCCAAGAACTGGTCTTGAGGGAGAGGAGAGGCCCAGGCTTTGAGGAAGTGGAACTTGTGGGAGTTGTTGGCCTCCACGAGAGCGAAGAAGGGGTTTGGGAGAAGTTGCAGAACTTTTGGGAGGTCTTGGCCATGGAGATGGGTGTGGTTATTGTGTGCCATTGGATTTGCTTCTTGAGATTTGAGACTTGAGAGATTGAGAAATATTTTTTTTCTTTCTGAACTGGGAATTGGAAAAGGAGCTCAAGCTTTACTTTTTAAGTAAATATTTACAGTGGCCAATTGGATTTAGTAGCATTTTTGTCTATTTTGTTGAAAGAGATTCCGATTCAAATAGCATGGAAGACAGTTTGATACCTTACTTGGCGTAAGCCATTGGGCCAATTTGTTTGATAACGATGTCTAACTATAACCGATCCGTATCTCTTAGCTCCAATAAAAACAATGAAAAAGGCATGAAAAAATTGAATAAAAACAAAACTATAACTATCTACCAATTGGAGCTTAGCAAGTCATAATTGAAACATGTGAGTTTGGTTGTAATTGAATCAAACTTGAGAGGGTTTAAATGAAATTGACTCAAAATATAAGCACGATATAACTATCATTTGGTACTCGCTCTTTATATAGATACCGAAAACGGACAATTTTAGGGTTAATTAGACTCGTAATGACTATTTGATTTAGTGACATTCAGTCTTCACTTTGTTGAAAGATAACCTAACTTTAAATTTCATGAACAACTATTGTTAATTATTAAAATAAAATAATAAAAAGAAACTACTTATCAAGCCTTTACCGCCCTCTAAATAGGCTAGTCTTTTATTTTATTTTTGGTTAAAAGCACTTTCAAATGAATATGCAAGGAACTTTGAAATCATTTACTTTAAAAAAAAAAAAAGAACAAAAATGGGCTTTGCCGTGATGCAATAACGTTTATCCAAGATATTTCAAGCATCGCAGGGCCTCTCCTTGATGATCTGAAAGCCCATTTACCCAAAAAAGACCTTTGATGATCTAAAGCCCACATCTTCTTGCTTCTCCTCTCTTTTTCCCCAGCTCTCTGTCTCTCTCAATCTCACTCGATTCAAGCTCTCTCCAAGCCAAATCCTTCTTATCTCATCTCGATCTCTCACTCGATTCAAGCTCTCTCTGTCTCTCACTCTCTCGAACTCGATCTCTGTCTCACTTTCAGTCTCTGGATTTCTTGATCTGTCTCTGTCTCACTCTCTTAATCTCTCGATTTCTCCATCTTTCTGATCTGTCTCAGGCTCTCAGCCCTTTCTCAATCTCAACTCTCTGGAATAACAAGCAGCCCCAAATCGACGAAGGGACAAATGGTAAGTTTGTTGTGATTTTTGTTAATTTATTTAGAGTTAATTAAATACGAATGAAGTTGAGGGAATTCCTCGTCCAGAATGTTGATAGTATGCTAGGAAATGTTGAATCTGTTAGAGGGCCGAAGTACTTGAAATTCTGAAATGTTGAATCTGTGATCTAGAAGATGTTAAACAGTTGATTAGTGGCGGGAATAATCTTAATATTAGTGTTAATGGGTCTAAGTCTAACAGCCTTTTTTCCAATGTTGATGAAAACACGACAGAAGAGAAGGTTGACTCAGTTTCTTTCCTAGGGGTCTATATGTGTTCTGAAATTTGCAAAAGTACTACTTCTAATGATATCTGATATGTTGATGTTGTACGGTCCTTCACTTCAACTTCATTTTTGAAATTGTTGTTATTTTTTATTTTTAAAGTGTTATGAAAACTAGAGAGAACTTGTTGTCATCAAGATAATTTTGTGTTTGTGTGTCTGTATATATAATCTTATGTGTTCTTGTCTCTGTTGAAGCTTACTGATATTACATATGGTCATGAAGTTTCTTATTTTGATGCTGTTTGTTTTCTAACTAGTAGAAGATTATTAATCCATTATTAGGGTGCATTTGCTATTTCTTAGAATGTCAGATCGAGTGTATGGATTTCTATTTTCTGATCTGCTTTTTGTTCAGTTTCTATTTTTCTGATAGTTATTTAGTTCATTATCTGTTCATGTGGTTCCATCCTTATCATCTAACTAATTCTTGTTTCTTCTCGAATCTGAATTTGCAGCTGTAGTGATAAGAACAAGAATCTTTATATAAATGAAGCTTGGATTGCATAACTTTCTGTTTTTTTCATTTATGTTTGGATTGTGTTTGTAATTTTGTAAGCCATAAGGCATAATTTTAACTATTTTGGTTTGTAAGCCATAAGGCATGAGTTTTAACCATTTGGATTTGGTTGATTTGGATATTGAATGTGTTGAGGGATATTGATTTGGTTGATTAGGATTTGGATATTGAATTTGTTGAATCTTTGAATGTGTAACTTAGGCATCACTTATTTTGGTGAATGAATAGGTTGAATATTGAATTAGTTCATTTTTGAGCTGTGTCATTTTGATACCGAAATGGTACCGTACCGTATCATACCGATACCGATTTGGTACAGTACCAACTTGTTCATTTTTGAGCTATGTCATTTTGATACCGAAATGGTACCGTACCATACCTATACCGATTTGGTACAGTACCAATTTTGGCAAACTATAATCCCATGCCGTACCATACCAGTTTTAATTTCCTGTATCGGTAGCGGTACGAGCCCAATACCGTACCGTGCCCACCCCTACTAAATAGGCTAGTCTTTTAGGGCTCGTTTGGGAGTGCTTTTGAAGCAGCGAAAAGCGCTTCTAAATGGGCAAAAGCACTTCTGTCTT